AAAGCTAGAAAGGACATGAGGATGTGTTCAGGAGCTTTGCTTGTTTGGTGTGTTTTTGTTCTTCCTCATTTATTTGTTTAATAGGGAATCACATATATAATTAGGAAGATATAGGAGAACTACAGTTTTCACTTTTGACCACAAATGTGAAGACGAAGGAAAAGGAGGCCGTGTACCAGCACAGAATCAGAGTAGCAGTAGAATGAATCATCCTACGTTTGGAAACTAGATATTTATTTTGCTGTCTAAAGGTAATTACTGTTTTATCTGAGTGTAGCATTTTATACGTTATTCATCTATGTATTGTACATGATAAGTTTAGGAGTCCTCTCCATACTTTCTTTTAGTGTAAGACTTCGTTTTTATCTTGAGTTGACCGTTGGAAGCTATGTATGTCATTAACTCCATTGGACTGTTTGTATTACCTTGATGAAGTCCCTATCTCTTACAGGCGAGTCTTTATTTCTTCTTGCTCACATGAAGGGGTGTGCCATCTAAGAATATTGCCTCTTAGAATCTTTGTTAATACCGACAGAGACAGGCTGTCTTGAAATATAGAATAACTTCCTAGTCATTCATAGCACCATATTGGATTTTAATGTATGATGATTTGCTTTGATGTTGAAGAATATTTTGTACTTACTACTAATTTCTCTTTGGTTCTTTTTACATTTAATATGTTGAATGGATTTGAATCACTTTCAGTGACTACATTAAAGAAATTATCATCAAATAATATTTTATAAAAATTAAGTAGGATGAAAATTACAGATGAGCAGGCATGGTAGCACATGCCTTTAATCCCAGCACTGAGGAGGCAGAAGTAGGTGGACCTCTGTGAGTTCAAGGCCAGCCTGGTCTACATAGTGGGTTCCAGGCCAGCTGGGGCTACAGGGAGACCCTACCTCAAAAAAAGAAAAAAAAAATCCGTGAATCTAAAGACTCTTCTAATCTCAAAATGTTGGCATCAGGAATACCTAACTTGTGTCTACTTTCATTTAAGGAATTCTCAAACTTTTTGCACCATGCTCTCCCCAAATAAAATTCACACTCTCAAGTAATTGCTATAAATATTATATTTTGTACAGCCACTGCCTAACTAGTCTTCACCACTTTGTCCTCCATTTTTCTATCTTAACTTTAGATCCAAGTCAGTGGTCGTTTTTCTTATAGCTTATCTCTCTCTGGGTCTTGCCCAACTTCTCTCTTTTTCAAACAATAGACTATTCTGCAATCAAATTTCTATTCACTATGTTATACAGGAAAATATTATTTTACATGTGAATACCTTTCTGCATATATTTTCTTCTAAGCAGTTGAATTGATAAATTCCTAGATTATAGTTAAAGTCAAAATATTTACTTTTTTATCTGTGAAGCTGATAATATATATTAATCTGTTTTGTTTTATCTAGAAGTGTTTCCATTAGTTTTATAAGTAAAAAGAAATAGCTAAACAATTTTGTTTTGGCACTACTAGTAATTGGACTAGGACATGTAGCACTCTACCACAGAGCAACACTTCCAGCCTTATCTTTTTATTTGTTTTAATTGAGCAAGTGTCCCTCTAAATGCCAGGCTGACCATGAACTCACTGTCTAGCCCGGGCACTGAATCTGTGGTCTTCCTGCAACACCACCTGGAGTAGCTGGGATTACAGGTGAGCCCCTGCCACACCTGACAAATCAGTCCATTTCAAAAGACATGTTGTCTCAATTTAACATAATTCCATTTGAAAAATGTACTTTATTTCATCTAGTAACAGTATTTTCCAGTCTTTTATACCTGACTTTAATAATCTTATGTGGGAAAAAGTTCCATCCTATGATATAAAAATGTTTCAAGGCAGTTATAATGTGGCAAAGACTTTGAGAGCAGACAGACCTGTGTCTGAATTCCTGACTAATCACTTTCAAGATTGTATGGTGAATATTTACTACTCTAGGCTTGAGATTCCTCATCTAAAAATATGATAAGATCTATTTAAAGATTGTTCTAAATACTTGGTGCCATGAAGTCTATTTAAAGTATTGCTCTTTTGCATGATAAATGCTTAATATATGATTTTATTGGTCAGTCACTAATACTTATTATTTTGTTATACATACTAATTTTATGACTAAGGATAATGTAGTGAATAAAGTCTTGCTTTCTTACCTTATACGTTAGATAAAAATAAATTAAATGATAATGACCTACAAAGTTGGAAGGTAGAGAGACACTGTAGTTTTTACTTATTTTTGAGATTTTGGGACATCTTCAAACACTTTTGTCACATATCTGACCTCTTGTAAAACTAGAGTTTACATATACATGCAATATTTCTATTCTTTAAATATTTCATACTTTATATGTATTTTGATAATATCCATCTGCCATTCCCCACCTCCAACTCCCACCAGACCCCCTCTAAAACATCCTCCTAATTTCATGTCTTCTCCTTCTCCTCCTCCTTCTTTTAAATAATATTTTTATTAATCAAGTATTTCATACAATGTATTTTGATCATTCAACTCCTCCCTTGAACCTCTCCTCCACCTCCTCCCAAACCCTCCACCTCCTCCATACTCCCTTCACTTCTCACTTCATGTTTGCTATTCTTTTTTTTAAAGACCTATCAAGTCTAATTTGTGCTAGCCAAATGCTCTGGGGTGTGGGTCCATACACTGGAACCTGGTCAACCTACCTGGAGTCATAGCCATAAAGAAAATTGAGTTTCCCTCTCCCAGGAGCTATCAGTTGCCATTAGTTCCTCAACTAGGGCTGGGGCTTCCTGCCTACCTCCCCACTCAGTGCTGGGTTTTTATCTGACTTGGACTTGTGCAGGTCTTGTGCATGCTGTCACATGTGCTGTAGGTTCATATGTGCAACTTCACTACTATGTTCAGAAAACATGATTTTCTATATTCATTCATCATCTCTAGTTCTCACAATTTTGGTGCTCCTTTTCTGCAATGATCCCTGACCATTGGCGGGAGAGGGTCTGATAAATAGGTATCACATTTAGGGCTGATCACTCTTCAGTCTCTTATTCTCTGTACACTGACCAGTTGTAAGTCTCTGTCTTAACTTCCATCTCCTGTAGGAAGAAGCTTCTCTGGTGAGAGTTCAAAGATGCACTAATCTATGAGTGTAACAATGTCATTAACTTATGCCAATAGCATAAGTTAACACTATGTCCATTTATCAGTATAATAATAATAGTGTCTCCCTTATAGCATGTGACCAGTCTAACCACAGGGTCTTGACCCTGATAAAAGTACCAAGTATGGGCTTCATTTTGTAAAGCAGGCCTTAAATCCAAACAGAAAGTGGTTGGTTACTCCTGTAACATTTTGTGCCGCTATTGCACTGATGAGCATATCTTGCCAGGCTAGTTGTTATTGTAGCTCACAGGGTTCACAGATGGGTAAAGCTGATGATTACTTTTCTCTTCCAGTATCATGTAGGGCACCTTCCAGTATTATGAAAGTTAGACAGTAGAGATGAGGCTTCAAGGACAGGACCAGCTTGATTTCCCCATGTTTGCTCTACAACTCACATTTGTCTTTTTTTCTGTTTTTATCTTGACATATTTTTAAAACTAGAATATTTCATCAGCAAGTATTTATTAAACAACTTCCATGTTCTATACTAATGAACCTTATAAGACTATGGATGTTTATGCATTCTAAAGAATTTCTAACAACCTTGGGAAAATATGCTTGAAATTTTAGTACTAATATGAAACAATTTTAAAGAATACTAAGATTTTAATAACCTCATATGACAGTAGACACAAGGATAAAAGTACTGAAAGTGTCCTCCACATTGAAATAAATTTTAAAATCTTAATGCATCGTTTATCTACTACACTTACTACAAGATATATATAGATATAGATGATATAGATATAGGTAGATTGATTGATAGATAGATAGATAGATAGATGATAGATAGATAGATGATAGATAGATAGATAGATAGATGATAGAGATTTGTCTGTTTGAGACAGGGTTTCCCTCTAGCCCCAGCTAGCCTAGAACTCACTTTATAGACCAGGCTGGCCTTGAACTCACAAGAGATCTGCCTGCCTCTGCCTCCCAAGAGCTGGGATTAAAGGTGTGAGCCACCACACCTGGCCTAATCTTTATATTTTTTAAACTTCAAATATCTTCAAGATTTCTTTAGTCTAAAAGTCTCATCTTGGTTACTCTGCTGAGATAAGAGTTTTAACAGCTTTTTTGCTCCAGTTTTTTCACTGGCTATAAGATCTACCTACACTTTTCTCAAAGCATGCACTCTGTTTAAATGACATGTTAAAGATTCTTTTCTTTTTAAAATAATCTATTTATTTTACTTTTCTTTCTCTTTTTTTTTCTTCCTATTCTTTTTGTAGTCAGACTAGGAATCAAACTGAGGCCCTTGCCATGCTAGCAAGCCCTCTACCACTGAGCTACATCCCCAGCCCAGAACAATATTACCACAGAAATTCTGAGACATTGCCTAGACTATACAGAGTTTGGGACTTTTCTCTCATAGCAGCTTTTCTTCTGCTTTAAGTGCTGTTCTGCTTGTTTCAGCGATTGGATGTTGTTTTCCATGTTCTGATACTTAGTTTTCAAATACCTGTGTACTGTATCTTACATTTCATGACTGCAGATGAACTGTATTAACTTTACCTATTGATACAGTAGTAAGGATGGGGAGACCAATGGCCAATCTACTTCATACTGGACTCCTAAGGCAATACATTTTTAGGATTCATGCTCGTTTTCCCCAGAAATACACCATGCAAAATGGGCATTCCATCTTTAAAAAGTGATGTCATACATATAACATAAGTGTACTTCAAACTTCAGATTTGAAATGAGGATCTCAAAGTGTTTTCCATATCAAAGTTATATAAATATTCAGCAGTTTAAAAGGTTTTAGTATATTACCTCGAGTATAGTATATATGCATGTATGGTGTGTGTGTTTCTGTAGCTCCCTATAGCTATGATTTTTTTTTTGTTCCCAGGAAATGAAAACTACAAACAAATAGCAATGTGTGTGCTTTACCACATAAGCATGGATGACCGCTTTAAATCAATGTTTGCATATACTGACTGCATACCACAGGTAAGGGGCTTAAGAGTTAGGAAAAACATTTAAGAAATATCAATATTTTTTACTCTTCTCTTGTTAGACCTCCTGTTCTTTAAAATTCTTATTACTAACAGTACATTTTTTCATAGAAAAATTTGAAAGCACAGGATTGGAGCTGAGCATACATAGCCCTGTAGAAATGCACTTGCCCAGCAAGCCAAAGGACGTGGGCTTGATCCCCATCACAACATTAACGACAAATACAGAACTATGAAAAAAGAAAATAACTTTTATTCCTGACTTAGTGATAACTAACGATTTGATACCCTTTCTTCTATGAGAATTCTTAAAAGTAATCACATATTAGGGTTCTATCACATTAAATTTTCATATATGGCTTTATCTACTCAGTAGATCATGTGTTCCTGTGTAATTGAACATTCTTCAGAAACTATTTCTGATAATTGTACAATATTGTGTTTCATGACCAGATTGTGTTGTTAAATTTATGTTTAGATTTTTTTCAGGTTATCATGTAAAAATTTATAGACAAACATGAAACTAATATAGAAAAACATTAGAGTCAAAAAAGCATATCCACATATTTGAATTTTTCTTTAGTTTAAATTACTAAAAGTAGAATACCTAGATCAGAGAAAATAATCACCTATATCTTTGATGTATATTAACCAAATTACCGTCTAAGAAAGAATAAATTTATATTTCCAGCCATCTTTCACTTTTTAAAAAGGATTTATTTATTTTTATGTGTATGAATATTTTGCCTGTATGAATGTAAGTATGTCATGTATGTGCAGTGCTGTGGGAGGCCAGAGAGGGAGTTGCTGCCCCTGGTACTGGAGTTACAGTTATAACAGAACCTGGTCTTCGAGAAGAGCAAAAGGTGTTCTTAACTGCTAGGCCACCTCTACAGCCCCATTGTTTCACTTTTAACAATAGCAATCATCGTTTCTCTAAAGATGTGGTGCTTCAGTATTTCTGTGCATTTGCATTTCTGTGAATATTGATGATGGTAAACATTTTTCATCTGTTTAGAATCCATATTTTATAATAATTTTCATTCAGTTTTTTTAGTGGCATATTGATAGTTTTGATAAAGTCAATGTTATAGTAACTATTTTAACTCTGCCATGTCACAAATATTTTCCAAGTTTTTCCCTTGTCTTTTAATTTTGTTTATAGTTGATGGTTTTAAGTATTTTACATTCTCTGATGGCAAAATGCCTCATCAAAATCCTTTTGTTTTTATAGTGCTGTTCTCAAGAAAGATTTTTCTATGACTCAGATACTTGATATATTTCATATGTTAGGCCTGTAAATCTTAAAGTAGTTTACTGATTTTTATTATATATCATCTATTTTATTAGGTTAGAAATTCCCTATATATGGGATTATACTCAGGGAATTTACATTCATGGAGTCACTCTTGTGACTATTCACCATGTAAATGAAGCTCCAATAATCTGAATATTGGATGTTTGGAACATTGACTGATCATCTTTTTATTAAATTACTTTTGTTGAATCGTTTTTATAAGATAGTAAAAGAAAAATCGCAATATACATATAAATATAATAAAAATGACACTTAAAAAACTTTAGAAGAGTCAAACTAAATTATCCTTACTAAATTAATTTTTAACAATCCTACTGTGCAATTCCTGCTTACCTTAGGATGAACTAGTAAATATTCTGTTATAATAAAAATAGTTCAAATTTATTTTTTCATTAATTCTAACTGACCATCCTTCTATTCATTCCAAATTAGTGAGTCAAAATTAAAATTAAATGTGCTTTTCCAGAATTTTAACATTTTACTTATGTGCAGTTAAAATATATGCTTGTAGCTGGGCATGGTGGCGTACGCCTTTAAACCCAGGACTTGGGAAACAGAGGCAGGTGGATCTCTGTGAGTTCAAGGCCAGCCTAGTCTACATAGTGAGTTCCAGGAGAGCTGGGGCTACAGGGAGATCCTGTCTCAAAAAGACGGGGGAAAAATATATATATGTAATATATATATGCTTGTATGAAATTCTCAATAAATTTTTAAAGTTAAAAAATAATAATAAAATATTTTTAAAAGGCTGATGGTCTCTTACAGAGTAATTTCTTAATCTCTTGTATAAGAGAATAAACTAATTATGACGGTTTACAGGAAATAGACATTCTTCAAAGAATATATAACATATCTTATCTAACACAACAGGGCCTCTTACCGTGATAACCTGTGTCAGACTAGTCAGACTACAGCCCATGCAAAGTGTAATCAAACTCTTTGTCAAACAAGTTTTCAGTAAAAAAGTAGCCATGTCAAAGAAAGATTACAGGTGATTTACTGTGGCCTCACTCCATATGTTCTGAAGATTTCTGCTTTGCAGTTTCAAAGGCTGTTCCTTTTCCAATCTCACGTAGTGTCAGAACTTCATTGACTACAGGATATGAATTGGAGAGCAGCCAGAAAAGAATAATATTCTTACAGAGATGGACTCTTCATACAGATTTAGATTGTTAAAAGAGTAACATTAAATAAAAGAGAAATAAATACAAACTAGGAAGAGGTAGAAAACTTACTACATATCCTACTCTTAGAGAATACATAATCTCAAATATGAAGTATAAATTTTTACCTTAAATGAATGAGTCAAAAATAAGAGCACGTTGAGATCAATTTTTAGACCTTGTCATCATTGCAGTTTAAAACTTGGTATGTACAGAATTCCCCCCCTCCTTTTTAACAGACAGTATTCCTGCATGTTTATTTTCAGACAGTTTTTTCATAGCAAATATATCAACAGTGGGGTTTTTAGACTACTTATCATCTGTAACATGAACCAATTTTTCCAAAACCATTTCAGGACTTGACAGTTTTTAGGTTTTTATATGTTTGCTTTTATTTCTTCTATCTTAAATTTTGACTCTTATGGGAATAGTGAGATTATATATACCAAATTATGTTGTAACCCTCCTGAAACATTTTAGTATGAGGTAGTGTTTTAATAAAACCAAATGAGAGCCTAAATATTTTTATTCCTGAAGCACTACCTAGTCTGTAATTTGTACTTCATAGTGCCTAATTTTCACGTATTTAAGGAAAAGCTGATTGTTGATTACAAAATAAAAGATTGAAAGCAATTCAGAAAATAAACAAAACTTCCAAATTTCTTTCAGGAATTTAAATGATATTCCTGTCAGAGGCTTCATTTATAGTACCAGTGTGGCTTTAAGCTTACTTGTGACAACAATCTGATTAACCTGCATATTAAAGAAAGCCATATTAAGGTTGGAATGCCTGAAAGTTATGTAATATTTTATTCTTGAATTTTACACATTAATTTTGGTTTACTATAGATCTTCAAATATTACACCTGAATTTTTAAAAGAAACTTAAAATAATTTTGAAGGTAGAAATGCAATGGCTCAGTAGTAATTCGTGTTTATTTTAGTGATCAAAGAGAATGCAGAGTATGGTTATATATCTTAATTCCTGTAGAATACACACACATACACACAGGCTGTGTAAATTTAGAAAGCATGACGTTGGTTAAAACTTGAAGTCTTTCTTATTTCTAGCTTGTTCATAGTGCAGTTTCTTGTGTGTGTTTTATAGAATAAATTAGAGTCACTTTCTGAAACTATTTAATGTCCAGCATAGGTGATTATACATATAGCATTTATCATCTCACCCAGTATCACATTGCTTTACTTTCTTCGTACTTTTTTGTCTCTAAGAATCCAATGTATTCTAATTTTCTTCCCCTTTTGCCATTATTCTAAAATATTTGAGACCAGATCATCTTTCTTTATGTAGCTCTTACTGGGCTCGGTGGGTAGATTGTTTCAGGTAAGCATATTTGGGATAACCAGGAGTTAATGGTTGTAGTCTAATAATAGTTAAAAGTACACATTAACAGTTCATTGTTATTTAGACCTCTGCGATGCATGTTTTGTTTAAATAGGTGCAAATGCCATCCAGATGCCTATAAAAGTATTTATTGGTAATAGAATGGCCAATCAAAGTACATGGTTAGGTTGTGATGTCATGCTGTTATTTAATATTTTACCCTAGAACAGCATGCAAGAGTCTTCAGAGTGATCCACATGTTTTCCACCACAGTTGTCCTATTTGGCCTGACTTTGATCTACATGCTTCTTTTTAGCTGAATGCTGGTAAACGTCCTTTCTGACAGCCCCCTTTGCTCTTGCCTGCCATTATCTGCTGAAGTTCAGAAACCAGAGCATCACTTCAAACAGGAGAGTTAGGGAGTAGCCAGTCAGATGAGATTCCTGAGGCATGCACAGCTCTGGCATAATCATTCAAAGATGTTTGGGTAGGGGGTGGGGTAGTAGAGGTGTATGGGAATACGGAGAACTGTGGGGGTTGGCCTCTGGTCGCTGGTAAATAAGTGAAGTCAGGTGCCAGAGAGTCTAGACACAGTGATTTCGGTCTTGGGTCTTTGGTATCTGATACTCAATATGGGACTTGTCTGATTGAATACTATTGCCTCTTCATTGCCCAGCCTGAAGCCCTTTTAGTGCTTTCCTGTTAGATTAGTAAAAGATGACAACAGACAGTTAAAACAGCACAAATCTAGTTTTAATATTTCCTAGTTGTCAGTAATTACACTCAGGTTTGAAGTGCCGTGGGCAGCAATCAAATTAAAGACAATTGCGCTGTTGCAATTGGTGTTTGTATCAAACTGATTTTAAATTTAAGTGCTTTAATTCAAATTGAAGTGGTTTTCTTATGATGAAACACCGATTCTATATTAGGATACATTCCATTCATACATATAATTTCTCTCAGTTTTGAAGATAGGGTAAAAAGTTTTTAAACTATGTGTCACTTTTTAAAAATGTATTCTTGATTATTTCTACAAGAGATTTAATAAGGAAATTATTTTTTTAATCCATACCTTCCGAAAACCACCTGCAACCTCATTTTAAAGGGTTTTCATACTGTAAAAGCAAGTTTAAATTAGATACTTTTTATTGAAATATTTTACTTTCTAAAAGCATTGCTTCAGTGTACTAGATTTTCATTATAAAAGTCTTCATATTAGTAAAAGTTCTGAAGAAACCAATAATATACGTTGAATTACACTATGGAAAAATAATTACATTAATTCATGGATTATCACCTACATTTTTGCTAATTTATTTTTATTACCTGAAAGGTAACAAAATCTGTTAAATATATATGAAGTAAATTAAGATCCTTTTATTTTTGCCTTAGATTCTTTTTATAGTACAACATTATTAAGTGTTAATGATCTTTTACTTGAAGATTTGTTCATGGTAACATTTGTGGTTTAAGACTGGCCCTCTGGGAAAGGACATGATACATGCCAGCCATTCAGGACTAGACTTTTGTAGTTTCTGTACATAGATTAGGGCATGTTGTTAGATTTGTGTTTAACAGCTGGAATGGAATTGTGTTCTTAATTTTTGTTTTCAACTATGTTATTAAGAAGAGAAATGGATGATTTTATGTTGCCCATGTATCCCATTTGTTATCTGTTGCCAACACAGAAAGTAATCAAAACCGTAGTTTACAAAGTCTGTTCTAAAATAACTGTTATTCACTTTACATATAAAATTATATTCCTGATTTATAAAAACATATTGTTCCAAAAGTTACTATCCTAAAATATAACATTGAAATGTTAGGTTATGTATCTTAGGAGTCTTTTATATATCTTTATGAAACATATTACATATTGTTTCTTTTTATTTTTAATTTTTTTATGTACATGCGTGTATTGCCTGCATGTAGGTCAGTGCACCCGTGTCGTGCAATACCTGCAGAGGTCAGAAGCAGCTGTTGATCCCCTGGGACTGGAGTTACAAACAGTTGTTAGCTGCCATGTGGGTGCTGGGATTCAAACCTGGTCTTCTGCAAGAACAACCAGTGTTCTTAACTGCTGAGCCATCTCTCCAGCCCCTACATATTGTTTCTTTACTTGTTGTAAGCATTTTCAACTTATAAAAAAATCTTTACATAATATGCACTAAATTAATTTGTTCATTTTCCAGTAATATAAGAGAATGTTCTGTAACAATACAAGTTTGCTCATCTCTGCTTTGTTATGGAAACTGTCACTCAGTAACAAATCTAGATTACAACCTAGTGGCACAGAGCTTGGGAGATAGCTTAGTAAAATGCTTGCCAAGAAACCATGAAGACCTAACTTTGAGTTCCAGAAACTGGGTTAAATAAATAAATAAATAAATAGGGACTGGAGAGATGGCTCAGCAGTTAAGAACACTGGCTGTTCTTGCAGAAGACGGGTTTGAATCCCTGCACCCACATGGCAGCTAACAACTATCCGTAACTCCAGTTCCAGGGAACCCGACAGCCTCTTCTGTCCTCTGCAGGCACTGCACGACACAGGTACACTTACCTACATGCAGGAGGCTGTCGGATTCCCTGGGACTGGAGTTACAGACAGTTGTTAGCTGCCATGTGGGTGCTGGGATTCAAACCTGGTCTTCTGCAAGAACAACCAGTGTTCTTAACTGCTGAACCATCTCTCCAGCCCCTACATATTGTTTCTTTACTTGTTGTAAGCATTTTCAACTTATAAAAAAATCTTTACATAATATGCACTAAATTAATTTGTTCATTTTCCAGTAATATAAGAGAATGTTCTGTAACAATACAAGTTTGCTCATCTCTGCTTTGTTATGGAAACTGTCACTCAGTAACAAATCTAGATTACAACCTAGTGGCACAGAGCTTGGGAGATAGCTTAGTAAAATGCTTGCCAAGAAACCATGAAGACCTAACTTTGAGTTCCAGAAACTGGGTTAAATAAATAAATAAATAAATAGGGACTGGAGAGATGGCTCAGCAGTTAAGAACACTGGCTGTTCTTGCAGAAGACGGGTTTGAATCCCTGCACCCACATGGCAGCTAACAACTATCCGTAACTCCAGTTCCAGGGAACCCGACAGCCTCTTCTGTCCTCTGCAGGCACTGCACGACACAGGTACACTTACCTACATGCAGGCATAACACTTATGCACATAAAATAAAAATAATAAATAAAATATTTTTTTAAAAGCCAGGCTTGATGGGGCACACTTGTTATCCCAGCACTGGGGAGGTGGTGATTGCTGGACAGCCAGCCTAGGCTACTTGGCAAGCCCAGATCTCAGTAAGAGAAAAAAACTCTCAAAAACACAAGCACCTGCTGGGTGTGGTGGTACACACCTTTAATCCCAGCAAGGCAAGGGACTGATGGATCTCTTGAGAGGCTGGCCTGGTCTCCATAGTGAGTTCCAGTCAAGCTAGGGCTACATAGCGAGTTCCAGTCAAGCTAGGGCTATAAGGAGACCCTGACACAATAAAAAGAAATAAATAAAATAAAAAACAAAATAAAAATCACCAAAGGAAGTACATCCGAATTGTCCTTTGACCTCCACACACCTATGTGCACTCATGCACAGACACCCACAGACACACAAGCACCTACTTACAAAATCAGTACATGTATACACACATATATAAGCTACTGTGACTGTGACTGGCATACAAAGCATATCTTTTCTTTCTTAACCTTTCATCTGTTCCTTCTCAAACCCTCCTTACCTTTCTCTTCCTGTCTCTTATCTAAATTTCTTTTCTCATTTTGTATCCATGCCAAGTTACTGAATCTAGTCTACAGTTTTAGTAATCAGCCATACATGAGAACTCCTAACATTATACCTGCGATCAAAACATAAACTCAGGCCTGTGAGTTTATAGCTTCCTGCAGAACACCTGTGCTTACCAGACCATCATTGTCAGCTTAAACTCAACAGATAGCAAACCAAAAATAGTATTTCCTTTTCTGCTTCCCTTTTTAGTAGATGTTAGCAACACCATCCTGTCATAATCTAATTTCTATACATAATAAACATTTGTCCTGCTTCAGTCTCTTTTCTATACTAGCAAGGTCTTTTTGAAACAAATGTCTTATCCTGACACCTTTCCTTCCTAGAAGCTTTTAGTAGCTTCTGTTTATCCTTAGGAGGAAGCCCAGAGTCCTTAGCATGTATCACAGGAGCCTGCCTTCTCTGCCTTTTGCCTTCTTACTTCACAACATTCTCCTGCCATTGCCTGGCTCCCTCCAGTTGCTCAGTGCAGTTGTATGCCTTCCTACTTTGTGGCTTTTATGTGAGCTCCTTTCTCTACTTGGAGTGCCCAGCTTCCAAGTAGTGTTTTGTTTTGTTTTGTTTTGTTTTGTTTTGTTTTGTTTTGTTTTTGCAGGATGGCTGCTGAGCCTTTATTAGGATCCCAAGGGCAGGGTAGGAAAGCCACAGGAGGGAACGTGCAGGGCCCAAGCAAGCACTCAGAGCTCTGCAGACACAAAGATATAAAGCTTGGCCACAAAGGAGCTGACTGTGCCATGGCGATAGAGATCCATCTTGACGGTCAGGAGCAAGTCCCTGGGCTCGGGATAGGCTTGGTGAGGGCCACCACCCAACTGTGGTGGCTTACCTTCTGAGTGGTGAAAAAAGCCCTCCTTATTGCCACCAGTGATGGCCAGCTGCTTGCTGTCCTCGGGGACGGCTGGAGGGGCCCATGCAGAAAACCACTGCAGGCACTTGGATGTTGGTGGGAAAAGAGAGGTGGTAGTAGGTTATTCTCAGAGGAGTGTTTTTAATCATGGATATTATTGGAAATTTCTCTTATGTTCTTTACTGTATGTGGAAATTTTTATTTAATGCTGAGCATCCAGTGGTTTGTTATTTATTTACTCATTCAGTTACTAAACAGTTAAAGCCTGTCAGTTTGTGTTGAAAACATTACCTTGTTTCCCATATATAATCTAAGATTGTGCATTATGATGAAATACTTTTGGGTTTTGTTTTTATATTTTGAATAAATATGGCCTCTGTTTCTTTCTAGTTAATGAAGATGCTCTTTGAATGTTCAGATGAACGAATCGACTTGGAGCTGATTTCTTTCTGTATTAATCTTGCTGCTAATAAGAGAAATGTACAGCTTATCTGTGAAGGTTAGTGCCTAGATCTTCATAGGTAACTTCTTTAGCATATGACAATTGTCATATGATGGTAAACATAATAAGGAAAAGCATGGAATGTAAACATGAAATCTCTTTTTATTTTGTGTATGAGTGTTTTGTGTGTGCTCACAGAAACCAGAAGAGGGCATCGGAGCCCCTGGAACTGGAGTTATGGATGGTTGTTAGCCACCATGTGGGTGCTGGGAACCAAACCTAGTTCCTCTGTAAGAGCAGCCAGTGCTTTTAACCACTGAGCCATCTCTCCAGCCCTGAAATCTTTTTTTAAAATAGCCTCTTCAGCATATTTAGAATTCTTATGGCTCCCATAGGATAGTCTCATCATGAGTTGAGATACTCTTTAGTAACATTTATAAACTCCAGTCAACATTGATTTGAAAGGTAATAAAATGTATACCAAATCATTGTTTCTATAATGTCTTGAGGAAATGGCTTGTCATACTTAAATGTTTCAGAATTCACTGAACAGTATTTCATTATAAAACTAATATATTACAGATAAGCAAATACAGAACCCTATATCTTTATTCTGACCAATCAAGAAAAAAAGATAATCAAATTTTTGTGTAGTGCTTATATAAAATTTTAAATAAAACTATGATCCCCCTCTGTGTGCCTTATAAAACAATCTCTAAAATTAACAAGTACCACTGGAGTAATTACCCTTTCTCTGAATCTTTATGCATTTCCAATTTTATCTTCAGTAAATTCATAGAAGTATAATTTTTTCAAAAGTATTTTTTAAATTCGTGGAGCATATTCTAAACAAAAAGCATATATTATATGAGTCTATTTTTATAAAATTGTGGATTATAAACCTAGTCTAATTTTACAAAGAATAAATAGAGAAAAAAGAAAGAATAAAAAAAAATAATTGTATCTTGAAAACAAAATTGGCAGGCAAAGGGCAGATGGAGAACTTTCTGGAGTGAAATGGAGACACCTATACATAGTATCTACAGCATATGTGGTATCATTTCCCAATTGTATATATTCGTCTAACTTAAATTGTGCATTTAAGATTTGTGCAATGTACTCAATGAAATTTTTATAACCAGACCAAACAAAAATTGTTTAAACTTAAACTAACCTCTGTTTGACCGGAGACCTGCCCATTTTTCTGTTTCAGGGAATGGGCTCAAGATGCTCATGAAAAGGGCTCTGAAGTTCAAGGATCCATTACTGATGAAAATGATTAGAAATATTTCCCAGCACGATGGACCAACTAAAATTTTGTTTGTTGTAAGTATAACCTTTGGCTTTCTGTCTATAAAAATAGACCTTGAAAATGTACTTTTAGATAGCTACATTTAGGAAGAATTTTTACTAACTCTCTTGAAATGTCTATTCATGGCTCAAATTGGTTCTTTTCTTATAAAAGTCTTTGTAAGCTTAGCTCTCAGAAATCCCACTCTACATTGAAATGTTGTTGTTTTGTGATTTCTATCTCCAATCCCTCCACAACTTATCAAAAGCTCTTAGCAAGTTAATTCAAAATAATTCAGAATGATTTTTTTGTTTTTTCTTCCAGTAGTATAAATTATTAGATTGGCTCCTCTCATAGACTTTTACTCTGTGTCAATTCTGTCATACTCAGGATTATGTTGGGGACCTCGCAGCCCAGATCTCCAGTGATGAGGAGGAAGAGTTTGTAATTGAATGTTTGGGAACTCTGGCAAATCTGACAATTCCAGAATTAGACTGGGAACTGGTTCTGAAGGAATACAAGTTGGTTCCGTACCTCAAAGATAAACTAAAGCCAGGTCTGTGCTAAGTATTATTATTATACTTTTGCATAATCACTAAGTTATTTCTTTCTCTCTTGAATAGAACTTATAAAACAATATGTGATTTCATTGTACTAGGCAAAACAGATTTTTCTCACAGCTGTTTTAAGAAGGATTATTGCCTGGTTCTGCTTTCTCCTAAAAATGGTTTCTAAATATTAGAATATTAGTTTCCCTTCCTTATTTATTTTCCTATTTTTAGTTTGTTTTTAAATTAATTTTTATCGATTTTTTTCAAATTTCATACAATATATTTTGATCATATTTAGATTCCCTCCCATATCGCTATACTCCCCTTACTAACCCCCTCCACAAAATTTATAAATATTATATATACTTATATATAAAGGTCTATAGAGTCAGGTTTGTGTCCCCAAATGTCCTTCAGTGTGGGTCTATTCACTGGAGCCTGGTCAACCTACCAAGAGTCTCATCCTTAAATGACAACGAAACTAATAGTTACTTACTAATAGTTCCTCAGGTAGGGTTGGGGTTTCTTACCCCCCCACATCTATGCTGTAATTTTTTTCTAGGCTTGAGCTTGTGTAGTTCTTGTACATGCTGCTACCATTGCTTTGAGTTCATATGAGTAACTGACCAACTATCTGGAATGCAGTTTCCTATGGTCATCTACCTCATCTGGCTCTTAGAATCTTTCCACTCTCTCTTCCACAGTCATCCCTGAGCCCTGGGAGATAGAAGTATGAAATAGGTATCCTATTAAGAGGTAGACAGTGTTGAGCCTCTTAGGCTCTGCACGTTGGCCAGCTGGGGTTCCCTATTAATCTCCGTCTGCTGTATTCTTCTGAAAGTTGAGAGGTGCATTAATCTACAGGTATAACAACAAGTCGTTAGAAATCAGTTTAATACTATATCTGTTTAGCAGAGTAGTTGTGTTAGACTCTCCCATGACCTATGGACTGTCTAGTCTCAGATTCCTAGGCCTGATTCAAATGTCATGTGTGGGATCCATCCTATGAAGCAGATCTTAAATCCAATTAGAAAGTAGCTGGTTATTTCTATAGTGTTTGTGCCATGTTTGCACTGGTGGGCATATCTTCCAGGCTAGTTGTTGTAGCTTGCAGGATTCACAGCTGAGTAAAGTTCCTGCTAAATTTTCTCCTCAGTTAGTTTGCATAGCACCTTCCAGCACTATGAAAGCTAAACAGTAGAGATGAGGCTTTGAAGTCAGCACCAGTTTGATTTTCCACCCCTCCGTGTATCCATACATGTGTGCGTATGCACAAACAGAATTACTTGAAGTGGTAAAAAGAATCCTTTATCTCATGTTTACATTATCTTTCAGTTATATTTTCAAAGATATATTTCTACTTCTCTGTTGTCTCACCAACACCACAGGCTGTCTTCGGTGAACATAGAAAATTTGAAAAATGGACAACTTTATAAGCATGTTAAAGATTCATAGGAATATGTTTAAGAGCTTTCAGTATCTTTTCTGTGCATTAAGGTTTTGACAACATGAATAGCTTGGCTCAGGACATTTCAGTGACACTTGTCCCTGCCTCTGCTCTTCAGGTGCTGCAGAAGATGACCTTGTTTTGGAAGTGGTCATCATGATTGGCACTGTATCTATGGACGACTCCTGTGCAGCCCTGCTAGCTAAATCTGGGATAATCCCTGCACTCATCGAATTGCTAAATGGTAAGCTAATACCTAAAGGTCATTATTTTTAAATTTTAAATATTGAGTTTACAACATGAAATAGCATATATTTTCATTAATCATAGAATTAATTTTCTTAGCTAAATTATGTAGTTAAGTAAAATAAACTAAATAAGCTGCTAACTGGGATTAAATAGAATAATATGAAAGAACTTTGGATCGCAGGGTAAAACAGTTCTGAACTAATTTTACATGTCCTTTGCTTTTCTTACCATTCTGGAACAAGTAATATGGTATCATCTCTCTGTCCAAGTTTCTTTTGTTAGATTAGCGCTGCTCTGTTGTGCAGTGCTTACTCATTATATCTTTATTTCTATAGTAGAAGTATTAATTGGCAAACTGGTTCTAAACATCATACTCTCTTCTAGATCCAAGGATACTGTCCTCTGAACTTCCTGTATGAGAATAAATGTCCTTTATCTGTACTACCCAAACCATGTAACCATTGAACGCTGAGATGTAGTTATCAGGGCTGATGACCTGAATCTTCAGTTTAATTTGAATTGGCTGCTATAGCATGTGGGTAAAGTACTGGACAATTCAGACTTAGAACCTTCCCCTTATATTGGTAATGCTCATAAGGTGTCAGGGAACATTATTTTTCCATATTTCATTTTTTTCATATTTCTCTCTTTCTTAGAGAATTTATCTGAAATTAGTGTTAATTTCATTAAGATCATCTTTGCTTGTGTCTTAATGATTTTAAAGTAGCTAATCATATAAAAATTTAAAATGCTAATATGAGACATCTACAGAAAACATACTTCTTAGTCCTTCCAGGACCATTTATAGGGTGCATTTTACTAATTTTGGTAAAATTTTTTTGAAGTATTAACATGCATAAGGAAAAAATGCAAATTACAATTATATAACTCAATGGACTGTTAAAGTAAGCATACTCGTGTTGCATTATCACAGGGAATTAAAATTGCCAATATTCTAGAAGTACATTTTCCCCTTCCCTAATTGTTCATACCTCCTCTAAGTGATTTCTGTCATATTTTTTTTTTTATTTTTGAGACTTTCATGCATGTATACAATGACTTACAACCATATCTTCTCTCCATTTCCACCCTCAAACTTCCTCCATGTCCCCTCCAACATGCCATCCCCCCAACTTCATTTTTTTTTGATAACCTGCTAAGTCTAGTTAGTGTGGCGCCATCCACTGGACTATGGGAAACCTACCTTTGGTCTCATCCTCAAAGAATAATTCTCCCTCCTCTGGCAACTATTTACTGCAAATAACTCCTGAGTTAAGTGTGGGATCTGGAGATAGTGTACACATCTACGCCAGCATTTTGGCTGGCCTAATCTAATTTAGGTCTTGTGCTGGTAAACTTAGCTGCTGTGAGTTCATGATTGTAGTAGCCATGTCACGTCCAGAAAACAGCATTTCACAGGACTCCTCAGCATCCTTCAGCTTTTGCCTTTTCTTCTGCCTCCTTTTCTACACTGTCACCCAAGCTTTGGTAGTGGTGGGGCTTATATGAATGTCCAAATTACGAATGAGCATTCAGTATCTTTTTCGCAGCACTTTGACCAATTATTTATCTCTGCATTCACTGCTGTTCACTGAAGAAAAAAAAAGCTTCTCTGACAAGGAGTGAGAATAGCCCAGGTCTATGGGTAGAAGCATAAATATCTAAAAGGTAATTTGATAGCAATAGCAGGTTCTACCTTTAGGCCTGCCTATGCCCTCTCCAGCCATGGGTTTTTAACCAGGTTACAGTACCTGACAAGAAATGCCCTCCTGTAGAGGATTCCTTAAATTCAGTCAGAAACTGGTTATTTATCCCATAATAGTCATGGCACTATTACATCAGTAGGTGCATCTTACCTGGCAGGTTGGAAGTGCAACATGCAGGGTTCAGTGCTGCGTAAGATCATTGAAGTCTTTCTTCCCCAGAAAAGCCCTGCATAGCCCTTCCAGCACTATGAAAGCTCTTTAACAGGGAGGAAGTTTCCCAGTTGATTTGAGAATGATTTCTCTATGTAGTGCCCTGCAGCCAAAGTGTGTTGCCTTCAAGCAATAGGGTCTTTACCATGTAGTAACGGTGGTTAACCAAGGGAAATAGAAAAGCCTGTGTTGTTTTGGAGATGTCTGGGGCCTCCCTGATCAGTAACTCAAATGGAGATATTCCATGTATTGTTCTGAAATTTTCATTTAAAGAAAAACCCTACCTTCTGGGAGCAGCATTGTCCACCTGTGCAGGGTAATTCCACTTGAACTTTTCCCCCCTGCCCCTTTTTTAGTTGTATTTTGAAATTAGCTCATTAATTCTTGGGTTTCTGTAAGATTTTTCTCGTGTATCCGTAGTTTTTTTAAAATATATTTTTATTGAGTCTGAGCATTTCATACAGTAGTTCTTAATCAAATTTAGACCCCTTCCCCATCCATGCTCCCCCATGCCCCTCCCCCACCAGACCTCATGCATCCTGTCATATATGTTAAGTCCTATCTGGTCAAGCTTTTGTACCCAGATCTCCTTCAGTGCAAGTTCATCCACTGGAATCTACTCAGCCTATCTAGAGATCTTAAAGAAGATATACTCTCCCTCACCCAGCAGTAATCAGTTGCCAACAGTTCCCAGGCTAGGATTCGGGGTCCACTGCCCATTTCCCTCACTCCGTGCTGGGCCCTTGTCTGATTGAGTAGGCATTGGGTCTTGTGCACACCACCACCATTGCTGCAAGTTCACATGAGCAACCTTCCAGTGACCTGAAAGCCTCTGTTTCCCTAAGTTCATGGACCAACCTTGGCTCTTATAATCTTTCAGCCCCCTCTTCCACAATGGTCCCTGAACCATGTGTGGGTGGGTTTCAGTATAGGAGTCCTATTCAGGGACACACATTCTACAGTCTCTTATCCTCTAAAACTTTGCCAGTTGTGGCCTTCTGTGTGTCACACTCTGTTGCATAAGGAAGCTTCACTGGTGAGAGCTGAAGGATGCACTAGTACTCTCTCCATCCCCTGTTCCGCTGTGTTTCGTGAACCTTAGGTGTAGAGGTTCCATTGTAGATGTGTCACCTTGGGTTAGGCATCTCTCAGACATAAATAAGGATCCACATTTAGCATATGTTAAGAAATTTCATTTGTCTGGAGATATGACAAAGATGGGGTTTTCTCTAGGCTCTATGACCTCTCCAGCCATGTGTATTTGGCTATAATTACAGTGCTACCCATGAATTCCTTCCCATTGTGAGGGCTTTAAGTCCAATTAGATAGCTTTTGATTACACCCCATATAATAGTGTCACAGTAAATTACCTCTATTGGTGCAGTAGTGGCACTGTTATGTATCCGTAGTTTTGGTTAACCCACCCAATATCCTCTCCTCTTCCTCTTTCCCCACCCCATCCCTGCTTAATCTTTTAACACTCAGTGTTCTTCCCTCTTTTTTCCTATCACATGTGGTTTGTTATCCTTCCACTTACTTTTTTTAAGTTGGATTGTGAGATAGATTTCCAGTTGGCTTTTCATACCCTCTTCTTTGGGTTAGCCCTCCGTTCACTGCCTGGTGTCCCCCATACTCTCACACCCTGCCCTGCTTAAGCCTTTTCACTCCAGTATTCCACTTCATTACTTTTGTTTAGCTGTGATATACTGTCCACCCTCCTTACATGCCCACCCAAGGACCCCTTTCTAGTTTCCTGGCTTCCACTTGTTCAAATTAAAAACACAAAAGATTTGAAGCCAGGATATGAGAGAAAACAATTGTTTGTCTTTCTGGGCTTGAGTTACATCATTGATAAGTTAGTTTTGTTTGAGTTTTAATTGTGGAATCTGGCTTATTTTATCCTGTTTTATATTTATAAGATTTATCTATGTTACATATGAGTTTGTTCTTTTTCACTGATGTGCATAGTATTCCATTGTAACTATATCAGTCTCCACTAATGGGTAGTAAGATTGTATTTTGTGGTGTGGGGCATTGGGGATGGTGACTATTATAAATAATACCCCTAAACCTTTTGTTTGCTGGTGAATATATGTGCTCATTTCTATTAGGTGCATACACAAGAGGAGAGCTGCTGAGTCTGTTTGTTTGTTTGGCTTTTAGTATATGGTACCAGAGTGTTTCCTAAAGTAGCTGTGCCAGTTTTCAGAGTGTCACCAGGCAAGGCAGTTGCAGTTGTTCTGCACCTTCCCCATTCCAGCACTGTCAGTCCTATTCATTAGCGCCTTCCTGCTGGTATCTCACAGCATTTTAATTTTAATTTCCCCAATAAATTAATGAAATTGAACTACAGTTTGTGTTCCTTGGCCATTTAGGTATAGCATAAAATGAAGTACCTATTTTAAGTCTTGCATACATCTTCAGTCTCACAGAGATCCGCCTGCCTCTGCCTCCCCAGTGCTGGGATTAAAGACATGCCCTACCATGCCCAGCTTAAAGTTTAACTTTTTAATACTGTTCAGCAAAATGAAATATCTCTTAATAATAGTCCAATTTCTTTTTTGTGGATGTTCTTTATTGAGCTGGGGATGAAATCCAGACTGTCAGGCATACTAGGCAAGTATGTTACCACTATGCTCTATTCTACCCCCCATAGTCCAAGTTCTAACTCTTACACAATGATGTGCCATCTTTTTTAAACATTGTTTTGCTCGTGTGAAGTCACCATCAGGGGAAACTTAACTAATTTTCCGTTGTGCCTCCTGTCACCTTCAGTTGTCCTCATCCTCTGTTGTCCGTGTTCTTGGTGGTAGATGCATACAGTGCTTGTCATGTAAAGATTTTGTTTCTTTTCAGCTCAGCAAGAAGATGATGAATTTGTGTGTCAGATAATTTATGTCTTCTACCAGATGGTTTTCCATCAAGCCACGAGAGATGTCATAATCAAGGAAACACGTATCTTTTCAATGATTGAAATATATACTGACATTTTGCATATGTAGGAAACATGCATTTGGTTTTTGTTTTGTTTTTTTTTTGTTTTACAAATGTTGAAATGCTATAGAAACCAACAAACTTTGAAATAAATAGAGGATAAGCTATTTTCTGTGGAAATTGTTTATCTGAAATTCGTACGGGGTTAAAAAAAAATCTGAAATCTCAGATACTCCAAAATATGAAACATTTGAACGCCAGCAGGTAAAAAATTCTACCTCATGTAGCAAGCCACAGTTAGAACACAAGTACACTAAGAATAGTATAGACTGTGTATGTATGGTGTATATGACAGGTTAACCAGCTTCATGTTTACACCTAGGTCCCATCCTCATTATAACTCATTATGTATAGTCAAGTATTCCAAAATCCAAAGTTCCAATCTGAAGTACTTTGGGTTCCTAGCATTTTAAATCAGGAGTATTTATATATGTACTTGAAATATAATAATAATAATTTTATTGATTTGTCAGGTCTTGGTTCCTATGAAATTTAAATGTATCAGAACTCCCTTCTCTTGTGATGTTCCCAGGACTGATTGTTCTTGATCCTCTTTATATTTACTTATTCTATATGAGAAAATATTTTTAAGTCCAGCTACCAACTATAGGTTAAACATTTAACATGTGAAAAACTTCTTGATCCTCAGGTATTTGTACTTAACTGGTACCTGATATCTTCCACTTATAGCAACCCAGTATAGTGCAGCCTAAAGAGCATTATAATCAAATTGCCCTGTTTATCCCCAGTATTAGGAATCAAACCGAAGGCCTTGTGCATGGTAGGGAAGGGTTCTTATGACTAGCCCCTTTCTAGCGACAGGACCTCAGAAAAGCCTTTAATATAGAATCTTACTACCACAAAATGGCTATGCTACTAAATAAAAATTTTCCTACTTTGTAGAATTGTTACAAATACTAATAAATTTAAAGTATTTTAATAATTCCCAACCCCAGAATTACTTAGTAAGTGGAAGTTTATCATTATAGCATCTCTATTAGCTACTTTTGTGTCTCTGTGACAAAAATATATGACAGAAACAACTTAAGGAAAAATTTATTTCAACTCAGATTTTCAGGGGGTTCCAGTCCCTCATGGCAGGGAATGCATGCAAAGCAGCCTAATTCATGGAGGCAGAAGCATGTGGCAAAGGCTTTTCACATCAAAGCATAACAGGAAACTTGACTGTGATTCATTCTTTGCTATTGTTCACTTTGGGTGAATAAGTTTCCCTGAAGAGGAGAGGACCTGTAGATAGGAGGACATGATAGATCAAGAAAGCAATTGCAGCTCTTTCTGCCATGTGTTTGTGTTCCCATGATGCTGTGTGTGGTTACTAGTGTGATTGAAGAGTCACTTCTCAATTCAATTCGTATCTTTAACCATTTTACTCAGAAGCTCCAGCATATCTCATAGACCTGATGCATGATAAAAATAATGAAATTCGGAAAGTCTGTGATAATACGTTAGATATTATCGCGGTAAGTACTCTTCTATAAAAATAGTACCATAGATTTCATTTTGTAGAAGAAAAGATATTGTAAACCTAACTATGCTCTCATACTAACACAACTTGTATTGCAGTAGAAGTTGGGAAAGTTTATGATATTAACATAAGTCCTCTGACTTTCAACTTTTAACTATAGGCTCCTTAGAGAAGTGTGTACATGAGCACAGTGCACAGTCTGAAAAACAGTTTGAAAACAAAGTTTTTCAAACATATATAGGAGAAGGAAAATTTATAACAATGTCTGTCAAATGAATGAAATTTCATGTCAAGTGTTTTTTTTTTTCAGTTATTTGATCATTCTTGTTATATACAGGCTGGTTTTACAAGCTACATAGGACTATTAGGAAATATAGAAGTCTTGTTATCATTCTTGATGCTAGAGGTTTTTAAAATACACCTAAGTAGAGGGATAATCTAAGTCTTGGTTTAGAGACTTGTTGATCCTAAACACTTTTATGATCCCAAAATTATGATGCCTCTGTACTGTTCCACTGGAACTTGGGCCTGACTCTGGTCATCTACCAAGTACTAGATTATTTATTTAATATAAATATTTTGTAACTGTTGGTGTTATATAAACCTGCTTGCTACTGTCTTTGAACTGGATTTTGACCATGTTTTGAAATGTTTCTTGAGTATAGCCTATTGATTACTTTTAGAAGTTTAACAAACTTTTTAACAATCAAATAATATCTTTTAAATCAGTTAGCTAGTTCATTGGAAATAGACTGAGTTTGCATTTCTGTTAGTGATTTCATTATGGACCATACAATCAGCAGCAGGAGCTTTCTTGTCATTTACCCAGATTTCGCTTCAGAATTTCATCTTATTTGATCTCATCTGCCTTTTAGATTTGACTGAGTACCTCATTCTGATTTAGAATTAAATGGATGCATTGTTATTTCAGCTTTGATCTAAATCAGAAAAATCATACATATTAAATCCTTGTTCTAACAATATATCTTGAAGGAAATAACTACAGGGCTTATAAACATAAAATATTTAATACTCTGACAGAAAAAGCTAATGGCTTTTGTACCATTTTCTAATATATCCCAAATAATTGAATATAAAAGTCATAAAGTTATGTTAGATCATCATCATATAGGGCTTTGTTGATAAGAAAATTTCAAAGAAGAATCAGGAAGATGAAGTTATGATATAAAAACTTTTATGGCTCCCTAAAGTGCCATCTGATCATTTTCAAGTTAGTATTTTAAAAAAATCAGAACAAGTGTTAAAGGATTTAGTTCACTTTATCTCCTGTGCGTCTCTGCACTGGATGTACAAAATCAGTATATGATGCAATACCATAAAAATTGATAAATTCACACTGTGGAAAACATTAATCTGAACAATTTAGAAAAACTAGACTTATTAATCAGTATTTAACAATAGTCATATGTGGATGATTCATGTGATTTGGAAGTTCTACGGTGCCGTTCAGTTGACTCATATCCATGGTTGAATTTCCTAGAAGTGAAATGCAGCAGAACTAAAAGCAAGGTGCCATGGTATGGAAATAGCCCTCATTCTACTAAAAGCATGTTTGTTTTTCCTTCCTGCTATTAAATTATAAAGTTCAACTTTACTGTATAGTAAGAATTGCAGTAGATGCCTAAAACACTTTTTTCACAGATCTGCTCAACAGTCACAATTGATTCATTCAAGATTGTGAACATTCAGTTTACTGTGACATTTCTGATGATCTTGAACTTAGTATGAGACTAGAAAACATGTTATGATACATAAACATCATATGATGATCCACATAATGATCACCCAGTGTATGTTATGCTTAAGCTGAACCAAAACTCACACCTAGCTGAGGATTTTAAATGTAGATTAATGATTTGGACCAACATTTTCTTCCCTTTGAACAATTAAATGTCTATGTTATTTTCTGTCATTTTGATTTTTTAAGTGAGATGGGAAGATATTGTTTATTGTTTTGAATTAAGCTAAAAGATATTCTGATTATATACTTTGACCAGACATATTATTGTTCATAGTTTATATTCAAAGTTATCCCATAAAATGGCTGGATATGACATTTCTTAAACTTTATGCCAGGACATTTAACTAAGTAGAACAGTCAACCGAGAGGCCTTCATTAGACCCCTTAAATAGTAAAAGGAAACTGCCTTTCCTAGCATCAGACCTTTTAACCTTCTTTGTTAAAAGGCCTGTGTTCTGATTCCATAGTAATTTGTTTGGATTTGGACTCCACTTTTCAGTTATTCTCAAGCCAAAATTATACTTAGTTTAGTTAGTCAAATGAATTTTTATTTGTAATAAATTTGAGGAGCAAACCATCCTAATGCACTATTCTTCTTCTGCAGTAGGTGCCAGTCTTTGGTTCTTTGAGACTAGGCACTGTTGCTGATCACAGCAGAGGGTGCAAATTGCCCATCCTAAATCTATTTCTAATAATAAAAAAGAGAAACTGGCAGGATTTGAAGCAAGACAAACCGATTAGAATTAGCACAGGTTGTGAAACACTAAAAACAAGACTATCAAGGGAAAATGTGAACTTTCTAGCAGTGCTGACTCATGGCTATATAGT